GCCAGGAAAATTAGCAATTTATTAAGATCTTGTCTAAAAAAATTTTTTGTGGGAAAAAATTGGAGATGTAGCTCAGTGAGAACGCCCTGGGATTGATCCCAACTGGTGCTGCAACAACAACAACAACAAAACCATTAAAAATCCACTTAAGGAGGTGCTGGGAATGTAGCTCAAATGTAGAGCCTATGTTTAGTCCTGAGTTTGATTCCTGGCACTGTCAAAACAAACACTTGAGGAAAACTCTGTTTCTCAGTACTCTCACAAAACACAGAACACTTCTGTGACCAGATGTGTGGAGATTCTCCTCCCCGCCACCGAACAACTCTCCAGCAGACACTGACTGGGTACCAGGTGTTTTCTAATTCGATTACATTCTGACCCTGTCTACCTGGGTTAGAACTTTGCTTCTGGCCACTGACTGTACATCAGAAGATCCCACAACTTCCTCCTTTTGTTGAATAATTTTCTAGAATCATTTGCAAAACTCAGCACACTAACTTCACCTGGCTCATTATATAATTGTATAGGACACAACTTTGAACGAGATGGAAGAGACGCATAGGGCAAGGAATGAAGGGTGGTAGAGGAGGGCTTCTCTGCCTTCTTTGTGCACTACCACCCCCACCCAGTACCACCATGCGTTAAGCAATCTGGAAGTTCATTGACTCAGGTCGTTCAAGAGTTTTGTTTTTTGGTTCCTGGGCATTTAATCTGGGGTCTTGCACAGGCTAACTAAGCAGTCCACCACTGAGCTATGGCTCTTGCCCCAAGAGTTTTTAAAGTTTAATTGCTACCCTCTACCTCCCCTTTCTATTTCAGATTACTTTCTTTCTTAGTACACACTTGCAGTACATAATGTTTACACTCCTTGTGTGGAGTGCACTTGGTACTTCCAACTCCCCTCTCGTGGTGGTTGTTGGTAGGTGGGCCAAAAGTTCAAACCCTCTAATCCTCTTCTGGCTTCGTCTTTCTGATGATTGGTCACAGAAGACTTCTAGGTTAAGAGTGCATCCTCAGGGTAGAGAATGGGGGTGTCAATTTTAAGAACAAGAAGTCAGTGTTAGGATGATTGATGATTCTTAAAATACTGTAGTGTTTATCACTCAAATTGTTCTCTGGCTCACAACCATGAATTCATATCTAAATCCTAAAGGAGGCTTTGCACTGAATGAAAACAGAAAGTTTTGTTTTTGTGGTTCTGGGGATTGCTATCAGGGTCTTTACATCCCCAGCCCTTAGTTTATTTGTTCAGTTTCAATAAATAAAAGGCTAAGTTGCCTGGCCTGAGTTTAAACTCGTCATCCTCCTGTTTCAGTGTCCCAGAGTGCTAGAATTATAGGAGTCCATCACTATGTCCAGTTTAGGGAAAAATGTGTATTTAATTTTATTAGTACTTGCTTGCAGTACATAAAGTTTACATTCATCTTAGGGTGTAGATGCTTGAACATAATACAATTTGATTCTTTTAAAATCCCCTTCCCACCCACTTCTCTCCTTCCTTCTCTAAATCCCCTTCCCCTTTACATTGCGGAGAGGGCCAGGCACAGTGGCCTTTAGCAGTAATCCCAGCTATTTGGGAGGTCAAGGAAGTAAGATCATGAGTTTGAGGGTGGTGTGGACAACACAGAGATCTTGTCTCAAAAACCAACTCTGGGAGACAATGGGACTTGGGTGATACATTATGACAAAAAGAGAAGGAAAAGATACTCTTTTCAGAAAAAGTTCTCCAGTAAGTCCAATGCAACTTTGGCATGCGTTGGGAACCTGAAGTATAGGTCTGTGACAGGACTTTTTGTATGGACACAGGAGTCCTGGGCACCAGGCTTTGCCCATGTGAGGAGCTTTATGTGGAGATGATTACATGAGGGCCAGGTATGAGACACGGAATGATTTTATTTAAAGTAACTGGGAAGGGCTTTGAAGAAAGACTCATAATTCAACAGATTCGGCAGCCTGTCAGACTCAGTGTGTGTCAGCTATCATAACCCTGCCTGACTATCCTGGTGATATGGGAAATATGAATTATATTCCCACACATTTTTCTTAAGCCTTTGAAGATTGTTGTTGCTCAACTATTGAACAGGTAACAAATAGTGAGGAAACGCTCAGGCAAGATTTTTTTTATCAGTTTTATTTTTAAATAACTAAAGATTCACATGGTTTAAAAAACAGCACAAAGATGTCCTGTGTACCCTTCAGTCATTTCCCTCCAACAGTATCCCTTTATTAACTACAGTACACTATCAAAGCTAGGATGCTGACATGGGGGCTGTGACCAGACAAGTCCGAGAACTTCCTCCAAAGAGGAGATAAGGACCTCAACTCATCTGCCAAGTATGCCTTTTGAACTTTTTAAAAAATGTTGAGACAGGCTCTCTCCAAGTCAGTGAGGAGTCCCACTGGGCTCCAGTTTGCTGTGTCCTCCTGACTCAGCCTCTTGGAGTGCTGGGATTACACGTGTGCACTACTGAACCTGGTTCAAATAGGTGTTGATTCTTGTCACAGAAAAATAATTTCAGGATGTATCAATGAGAGTCACAGACAGGTTTTACTAGGCAGAATGAAAGAAGCACACATTCAGAGAAAACAGAGTGTGGGCCCTCACGAGAGAGTTGCACTATGTTCTGACATTGAGTATATATGTGTTCTTGGAGGTATCCTTTTTTTTTTTTCCTCATTGAGTTTATTGGTACATTTTAGGTATACAGTACCATTACATTCATCATTGGGATCTTGTACCTCTACATGACAGGTCTTGGTTCTTATTTTTTCCCTTTGTCCCTGCCCTCCCTTCACCCCTCCTCCCTCCCCCTTACAAACACTTCACTTCCATTTTTTTCATTGCATGTAATATATCTTAATTTTTAAATTCCCACTCCCTTTCCCTTTCTTTAGCCCTTCTTTCCCTCCCCATTTACAAAAGCTGTTTTCATTTTCCCTTCTGTTCTTTTAAAAAATAATCCCTCTTAATCTTCCTTCACTTTCCCATCTCCCCTCCCTTGTTTCCCTTTTCATTTGAACAAGTTCTCCTTGTCAGTATCTATCATCCATTTTGCTCCTTATTTATACATTGGGTTTCTCACACAAGAGAAAAAAATGTTAGATATATACTTGTATTTCTGACGTATTTCACTTAAGATTATCGTCTTGAGATGCATCCATTTACCTAAAAGTCTCAAGTTTATTCTTCTTTAAAGCAGAATAGTATGTCATTGTATATAAATACTACATTTCCTATCCATTCATCTGTTGATAGTCATATGAGCTATAGCCAAGATTTAGCTATTATAAATTGTGCTGCTACAATAAACATAGACATGCCTGTATCACTGTGACATGATGCTTTTAGATCTTTTGGAAAAATATCTAAAAAAGGGAATAGCTGAGTCAAGTGGAGGTATCCTTTAAGATGTGTGATCTAGTTTGTTTGGAGGCAGGGTCTCACTATGTAGTTCAGGCTGGCCTTGAACTCACAGCAATCCTTCTGCCTCCTGAGTGCTGGGATTATAGGCATGCATCATCAGGCCTGGCCTAAGGTGTTTTGCCTGAAAACATTCTTTGAACATTTTGAATCTATGTCTTCATTTTAAGATCCAGTTGCTGCTGTTTTCCTTATCAATTAGGCTAATTTATGGGTTTATAGTATCTTTAGGGCATTTGGGTTTGATGGGTCTGGAACAGAAAAACAAAACAAAACAAAAAACAAGCTTAGGGAGCATAAACAAGACTTCAGAGTAGATATGAAATACAGATACAGATAACCTTGGGTAACAATCTTGGGTAACTGAGTTCTGAAGTTGCAGTTTTCTTTTTTTTTTCTTTTTTTGGTCCTGGGGATTGAATTCAGGACCTTGCGCTTGCGAGGTCGGCAGTGGAACCACTGAACTAAATCCCTAGCTCTGAAGTAGCAGTTTACTTTGAAGTACAATTTTAAAATTATGATTTTCCTCATCTCCTTTCCACCTATTTCCTCACAGCCACCCATGAATTTTATATTTTGCCGTTTTACCTGCACTTCTGTGTAAAGTTCTATGCAATTTTATCATGTGCAGATTTGCATAACCACCCGCATAATTAAGATTTAGAACTATTTTATCACAAATACCTCCCTTGCTATCCTAGTCCTTTATAGATGTAACCATCCACATCCCCTACACTCCTTCCCACCCTGTTCCTAATCTCTTGCAACCACTAATCTGTTCCCCCTCTCTATAATTTTGTCAATTTTAGAATATTATGGAATCATACAGTATGTAACCTTCTGAGATTGGCTTTTTTTCTCTTCTCAGTATAACTTCACAGGTTTCTATTTTAGGGAATCCATGTCAGTGATAATGATTTTATATTTGTTGTGGGATAAAATGATATTAAAATGTCAACATTCCCAGATTCACCTACTGGCTGGAATTATTTCTGACATATCTTAGCATTTTTTTGGGGGGGGGTATGGGGATTGAAATCTGGACCTTGTGTGTGCTTGCAAGGCTTGCTTTATGTTAAGTCAAGGGCCGGGAATTTAGCTGTGGTGCCAGCATCTGCCTCGCAAGCACAAGTTCCTGAGTTGATCTCGGTACCAGAAAAAAAAAAAGGGTAAGGTCGATTAATTATTAACTCATCACTACACACTGGGATAGTTTAAGGCACATGTGCAAAGGTTACATTTTGTTCAAACACAACAGTAAACATGGTACATCTTTTATCAGATAAAGGTATTTCAGGAAAATTTCTTAGGCAAATTAGAAAAAAAAACACAAGAAACATAAAATATTAAAAAGTTTATTTATAAAGTCTTTTCCTATGCAATGTCTGACTAACTAATCTTCCAGAAAGTTTAGTGTTTCTTTTTTAATATTTAGATCTTTAATCTGCTTGGATTTTAGTTTAGTGCATAGTGAAAGATAGGGGTCTAGTTTTAATCCTTGGCAGGTGGAAATCCAGTTTTTCCAACACAATTTATTAAAGAGGCTATCTTTCCTCCAGAGGATGTTTGGCTCCTTTGTCAAAGATGAGGTAGTTGAGTACATCTGGAGTTGTTTCTGTATGTGAAACAGGAAGAAAGGGGCTAAAGGCATAGGGGAAGTGGGAAGGGTAGGGGAAAGGAAATAAGGGAAAAGAAAAATATATGAGAAAAGGAAAAAATGGAAACAAAGTCTTTGTAAATAGGGGAGGAGGGAAGGGGTGAAGGGAGGGCAGGGGTATGGGGAAAAATGAGAACCAAGATCTGTCATGTAAAGGTACAAGATCCCAATGATAATATAACTGTACTGTATACTTAAAAAGTACCAATAAACTCCATGAAAAAAAAAGATGTTGGAGAAATTATTCAGAATGCCTTAATATTATTTCTATAAGTAAAGAGTATTTTGAAACAAACAAAAAAGTTTATAAATAATAACTTAGAACTTTTCAAAGTATAGCACAATTAGCAAATAGAGAAAATGTTAGCCTTTAACTTCAAGTAGCCAATGTTATCAAACATAAAGTTCACATGCCAAGATCACATGGGTAATATCTGACTATTCCAGAAAGTTCTGCGGAGGTTACAGGAAGCCAAAACTCTTCAGTGTTATTAGGCAGGTTATGGGAATAGCTAGGAAATTCTAAATATGAGCCTTGAAGAACTACTGTTTGAATCAGGGTGATTCACAAAGTCACTCAATCCAGAAGTTCTTTGAATTTAGGACCAAGGGAAAAGTTTCACCTTATTTTTTGTTGTGAACTTTTACTTACGCCTGTATTGTAAAGCTGGCTTTCAATATTTTATAAATGTGATTTTGTTAATTTTATTTTAAGTGCACTGTCTTTATACTGCAGACTTTTGAGAATGATTTACCAGTATGGAAAATGAATTTCAAACATACTTCACTTTTTCTTTAATAATGAAACTTGCTATTTTAAGGCATGGAGTTGAGACACAACCTTGTCTTTTCTTTCTTTTCCCCCTTGTGGTGGCAGGGATTGACCCAAGGCCTCTGCACTCAGCTATATCTTTAGCCTCTTTCTTTAAACTTTATTTTGAGACAAAGGTTCAGGATGAGATTGAATTTGTGACCTTATCTCAGTCTCCCAGAGTGCTGGGACTACACACATGCTTTAAATAGACTGTAAATTGGTAGGGCTATTTTTTTTTGTTTGTTTGTACTGGGGACTGAACTCAAGACCTTGTGCTTGCAAGGCAGAAGGCAGAACCATTGAGATAAATTCTGACATGGTAGGCATTATTTAAAATCATTTTGGGAATACAGTACTTATGAAACTTGAGGTGCTTTTTTCTTTTTCTTTTGTGGAGACAGGGTCTCCCTATGTAGTTCAGACTGGCCTTAAACTTGCTCTGTAGCTCAGGCTGGCTTTGAACTCACAGTGATCCTTCTGCCTCTGCCTCCCAATTGCTGGGATTACAGGCACAAACCACACCCAGCTTTGAGCTGCTTATTATACTCTTTGTTTCCTGAAATGTAATCATATGTATGTAGACTGTGTTCAGATATTCATGATGCTTTCTGTAACATTAGTTACACTGAATAGGAATAATGTAAATTTCTACAATTTTAGAAAAGGTTAAATGGTGGCATATTAAATTATAAAATATTATGCTGTATTAAAGGGATTGAAAGAGCCATAATGAAAGAACAAAGAGGAAAGGTCTGAAAACCATGTACACAAAATTGTTATAGTGGTTATCATGGCAGGGGGTGGTTTGAGAAGATAAAAAAATTTCTTTTTTGGGGGGAACCACTTAAAAATGTTTTATTTTTAGGGTCTTGATAATTTGTTAAATTGCCCAGGCTATGCTCAAACATGCGATGTGCTCTTTCTGCCTCTGCCTCCCAGGGTGTAAAACTTAATATTGCTTGCATCTTCCAACACGGGCATTTATATGCTAATCGCACAGCTAAGAACAAGAAAATTTCATCAACAGAGTATATCTCAAATACAGCAATGGAAAGACTGCATCAGCTACTTATCTTGCTATTTAAAAATTCTGTCTGGCAACGTAGGGAGGTAATGTTGATAAATGCAAATGAAATGTGAACTTAACCTAGGAAACAAGATGTTTTGGAAAGGGAGTGAGGTTATATACACAGTGCTTTAAAAAGACCTCACTTCATTAGATACCTTAGCTACTGTATTTGAAAATTGTCTTTAGTTAAACGAGACAAAAACTGAGGAATCCATTCAACCACAAAGACTGGACCTGATTTTCTTATGTATCTCTACTGTGCCTGCTACACAGCAGATACTCTCAATAAATAACGACTGGAGGAGCGTACAGTTCAAACCTTTGTAGTAGCACCCACTGATTTAAAAGTAGGAAATCAGCAAGGGTAGATGGTTGTGGTTGTTGTAACTTGCTTTTCCAATTAAGGGGTCACTCCCTTTCTTCTCAGGCAGGTTAAAAATTTCACTGAGGATGGGCTCATGTTTTGGTGATCTGTGAATTGAAAAATCATAAAACTTCAGAACCAGACAGATGAGAAAACGGGAAAAAAACCCCGCGTGCTGTCACTATACACTAAATATGGATATATATTTTATATAGGAAATCATAGCTACTTTGTATATATTGCAAATATATATATATTTTTGCTTACACCAAAGGGTTGTGGTGCAAACGTTTCCTGGCTGTGAAACTGGATAAATCACTCTACTCGTGTATTTTTGTCTGAAAAGCAAGAATAACCCTTTCCTAGAAGTCTCGTCTCTCTGTACCAGCCACCCCCGCCCCCGCCCCCGCCCCAGGAAGGATGAGTACATTTATAAACTGCTGGCATATAATGGCCATACCATATTTGTGCAATGAAAATTTCATGTAAATTCAATACCAGACCGTCGGGTATAAAAGCACTGAGACTAAAACTGAATAAAAGCAACAACGTTCTCCAGTCCGGGCGGTCTCTCCCACCTATCCGGCTGGTGCGGGGCCCAGCGGTGGACGGGAGGGTCCTGCTCAGGCGAGGGGACTTGGGTCGTTCGGGTGCCAGGCCCCGGTTTCCGGAGATCGCAGCCAGCGCCAGCCGCGGGCCGTAGCGCCCGATCTCCAGCCGCGCTGACCACAGCCTCGCCCACCGGGGGCAGAAACTGGGATGGGGTCTCGGCTGGACACTCCTACCTACTCTGGGGAGTCAACTCCCAAGGCTTTGCCCCTCCAGCAGGGCAGGGGGAAGAGTTCTAGCCAGGCCGCCTGGGTCCCCGAAGCCGGAAGGCCCGCGGG